ACTCGTTGTTGACTGGCATGCATGTTTTCGACAGCCCTTGGGAGAATTGCATAAAGGCCGATAGGAAGAGCGAAATAGTTCCTGTCTCTTTTTTTTATTCCATAAAGTCTCCGTGTAAACGCTGGGACACCTGGCACCCGTCACAAGACCGACGGAGAAATACAGTAGACTGTAAGAGACTGTAGGGAGAAATCTCTGTAGATGGATGGCATTTCATGTCACATTCAGCCTTATAATCTTAAAGCAAAATCAGCTGTTTTGTCATCACCTTAAGGTGGTCACACACCAGAAGCGCCGCTTCAAATTACACTATAGAGAATCATTCAAATACTAGCTCTAAAGTTGGTGAAGTAGTAACGGCTTCTGCTGTTCTGACGTCAGCTGCAGATGTGAATGAATGGTGGAAGAAAGTAGTTCCTAACACAGAGGGTTTCAGACTCTCCATGTTTATATACACTATTGTGCCATCGAACTGTTGTATAAACGCAAGTATAAATGAGAAATATCATACTCGTAGCAGTGCGATATAGCTGTATATCAGCACTGGTGGGAGGTGTGCATTGGCACAAGGCCGCAGGCCATATATATGGGCGAAGCAGTGGCGCAGGAGGTAGTGCTGTCGCCTCACAGCTAGAAAGTCGCTGAGTTGCTGGTTCGAGCCTCGGCTCAGTTGCCATTTCTGTGTGGAGTTTGCATATTCTCCCTGCGTTCGCGTGGGTTTCCTCCGGGTCTTCCAGTTTCCCCCAAAGTCCAAAGACATGCGGTACAGGTGAATTGGGTGGGCTAAATTGGCCGTAGTGTATTAATAAAGGGACTAAGCTGACAAGAAAATGAATGAATATATATATATATATATATATATATATATATATATATATATATATATATATATATATGTTGCTTTTCTCATTAAAAGTATCTGTGGCATTATGTAAACAAACTGTAATTAAAACGTTTCAAATATTCAACATTTAATTCTATTAATTTTTTTTAATTGACACAAGGGTTTAAAAAAAGCTGTGATCCATTCGTTGTATTACTGAAACTATGCTAATATATAGTTAATAAAACCTGGGAGAAGGAACGTTTAAATATTTAATAACATCTCGTTGTTAAACTTAGGTAGTTGTTAAATCCCTTTGCTGTCAGTCAGTTCAAACTATTTATGTGTCCATGAATTCAAAAACTACAACAAATCTCCTATTTCATAAAAAACAAGATCATTTTAAAACTCTATCAATAAGCCCTGAAGGAGAGTAAATATAAACAAGTGAACATAATGGCATGACTAAATTACATACTGCATGTATGATACTAAAGAAAAGTGTATGCAGGTGGGAGATGACAGTGAAAAATAAGGCAGACTATTGCTTTTCCAGTGGTCTGGGGAAAAGGACTGAGGCTCAACTGTGCTAGTTCAGAAGAAATGGGTTATGAAAAATAACTGCCTTCTTCTCAAAAACTGACAGATCTGCTGACACAGTCTCCATTGCACACCCCAAAGAGCAAACTTGCCCATACATCACATAAATACACGCACACTTGCTTCCAGTGAAGCACTCAAGGGAATTTAATATTAAAACAGACACCTGTACCAGGCTGCCTAATGTCAGCACCAGTTTAAAAAGCAAGTGGTCACTTGATCTTTTGAAAAACAATTTTCATAATACCTCGTTCTGCTTAAGAAAATACTATATCCGTTTTAAAGCACTCATACAGTAGCTGTCAAACATCAATCCAAACACCTCATACAGGCTCCTGAAGGACTTTCACATTTGCTTGGCTAAGCTCAATCACTGGCAGGCTAAAGAAAGACTGAAAGGAGGAATAGCATGTGCGTACATCAGCATTTGTGTACTTCATGTTAACAGAACAGGGATAAATAGGGTCCCAAGCCAACTGCTGGTCAGAAGGGAGGCGTTACACTGGTAAATAAAGCTCATTCCTTCACCTAAAACATGGCTAATGGCTAAGCTAAGCATTTTTTGCACTAAAAGACTGTAAGGAAGAGACTGCTTCTTTATCCTGTTAGCCAGCAGCAACCATATTTCTCTTAAATCATTTTGCACTAGTTTTCCAAAACATTTCCACTAGTGAGTAAATTTAGCATGTAGTTAGCAGGTACATGCTAAAAGCTGATGGCACTTTGAATATAATTAGTCTAAAATGTCCTCATAAATAAAAAAATAATAATAATGGTTCTTTTCCTCAAAATATTGCCACAATAATTCAAAGATGCAGAAACTATGTAATATATACATTATTAACATAAATGCAATAGAAACAAGAGCATTTCCAGTCATTTCAGTGTCAATGACCAACTTTGCAGAAAAAAAAGTAACAATGTAAATATAAGCATAGACATAAAATCGTTTTTTTAATATGAAAATACCAATGGTTAAAAAAATTTATTTAGATTAGTGTAAACGGTTAGATATTTGATTGTGTTTTTGCAGTAACTTACTGGCAGCACGGTTGCCAGCAAGTTACTGTAACAATAACGTACCAGTAAATGTGTTTTTCAGTAGCAGGGCCCAACCGCAATTTCATTTTACAATAGAATAACCTTACCGCTACTCATTTTTGGGCAAGCTACTAGGAAAATGTAATGAGCTAAGCTATTAGTTCCTCTACCTAAAAAGTAGCTTAACTACACCGAAAGCTACATCCTCAGAAATTTAGCAAGCTAAGCTAAAGTTACATGGCAAAAGTAGCTTAGCTACATCTAAGCTATTTTTATTTTTTATTTTTAAACAGAACCAACTTCAATCCAAATGAAACATATGAAGCATAATTGTGAATTTCAGTAATTTACTGCAATTAACATGCTGCTCCAAACAAAAACATTTTTTTACTAGAAAGCAAAAACAAAAAGGTCAAAAAATCCTGTCTTGCACATAAAAAATACTATAGTAATGTGTAGTAAAGGGAAATATATAGAAAAGTGTATTATATAAACACTATGGTATTATATATATATAAACACTACAGCATATAAATACTATATATAAGCGTAACATAAATATATATGTTATAATATAAACATATATGTTTAAAACACTATAGTATTTAAAATATTTTATTTACTGTATTTACATTAAACAACTAGTTTTATAATTTTTCATGTGCACTTGGGCACATTTTCAGAACAAACAGTGGATAAATTTAAAATTAATTTAATTCTAACAAGAGCACAGCATCAGAAATAAATTTAAGACATGTACTTCGAGGTATGGTACTGCTTGGGAAATAATTCCTCTACAGTCATCTATCCATTAAGCAAGTTTCTCATGTCGACATCACCGACCGGAGCGAGAGGTGGCAGTAACTCACTAAAAAGTTTGTTTTCGAACACAGTAAACCACGAAGAAGAATTCACCATTCTCACTATCATATGGATTTATTTTCATTGGCCAGACCCCAGCTTCACAGCTCTGCGAATAGTGATGGCGTCACTTAATGATCCGCAATCGGTAAATGTAGCTTGTGTGGACGCTACTGCGCTACTTGCTTAAAATAATAGCTTCGCTACTTAAAAGCTATTCGATTTAGAAAGTAGCGACGCTACCGCCACGTTACTGAGAAATATAGTTAAGTTAGTAGCATAACTACTTGCAGCAACACTATTGCCCAACACTGTTGCAACTTATTTTTATGGTAAAATGCCCTTTACCACATTTTAATTCAGTACGTGTACTGTGATTTCTTTACATTTTACACTAGCAGTAAAACAAAACAAAACAAAAAAAATGTTGACAAGTGACTGTTTTTTTTTTACATAAATGGTCTCATTTTTGTCTTCATCTACAGTAGCAGTACTTGATTACTTTGATTACAGTAGAATACCACAAAGTCCTAATATGCAGTAAGTTACTGTAAAAGTTTCAAAGTGACCCACAATGCAGTGCATTTTACAGTAGTGAACTGTATTTTACTGGGTGTTTTTGCAAGTGAATAACTAAAGTTTCAAGTCTAACAGTTTACATAGTATTACACAACAAACTAACACCACAAAGATTGACTCAAGATTTTGTTATGTGCATGGATGTTAATACTATTTGCCATATTGTGATTTGGGTTCAATTTCCTTGAGCTGTGAATTCTAACTTGTAGAGAAATGTAGCACAGACAGTGGACAAAGATTAAACTTTCTAATTCATATGTGTTAACTGCTTGTGTTTATAAAGACTATTAATGAAGTATAGTAATGTACTTCCATATACAGTACTTTGGGCTTAAGCATTAAAACCATTGGACTGTTCAACTACATTTAGAATCTGAGCACTTTAACAATATCACCAAGCAAGTGATAGTTAAACAACAAGAAAGGTAGTATATATTTGTCATTTTACCACCATAACACTATTACCAGTCATTCAAGAACAGATAACAAACACAAACACAGCAACAATAACACACAGACACCTGACAGGAAACACATCACACACATAATAGTACAAAAAAACAAGTCGCAAGTGCCCACTGGGGTGCAGGGTAACTTTTTTTCTCTCTGAGTGCTTTCATCAATACTAGTGAATAGTGAATATGGCATAACCATATCAGGCATGGTAAAACCTTGCATTTTGTCCTTGAACTTTCACCCCTTGGCATGCCTATTGCAGTCCCAGGGCACAAGCAGGTGCAGTGAACATGCACAGATAAGCATTCGTTCATCACTGGTAGCACTCAAGCGAAAGGGCAATCCATTCACTGTGTCTACTGAAAATGCTCTATTTACAGTTTAACGTTACAGTGTTTACGTTAAACCCATTCGACTAAAGAGCAACCAGTTTTGAGACATCAAAACTCTAACAAATCCAAATAATACCCAATTCCCCTCACCCCCTTGCTGTGAAACTACTTCAGCATCCCTAGCATTAGCAACAAGGAAGGAAAGGGGGATGGGGTTCAGCCAACACATGCTAGTTTCCTATTAGCTGGATCTCATGAGGAAATAATCGGTGGCCCATGCAGAATCTACAATACTCAGAATGTCTTACCCTGTCTTTCCCTATGAGACACTTTGCATGAACAGAAGACAAATAACGGGCGCATAATTAGTCCAAATGTGTTTGTGCTCAATACAGCAGGAAATAAATACAAAAATCAGTTCAGTGAGGTGACAATGCTATTAAAAATGTACTTTAACAAAAAGTTAACAAAAAGGCGAAAAGTAAAAACCCTTAGTGCAAAAACCTTACCGAACACAATGAGAATTGTTAAGAAATTAATTTCATGAAATAAGTATAACCACATTATATGTTTTACTATAAAATACCTCAAATATGTTTTTTTTTTCTTCAAATAAAACTATGATTTTCCAGCTTATTTGAATGTTGTCACTCAATTGAACGGGCGTTATCAGCTGATAGATATGGGCCAGTAGGGGCCTTCTGCACCTACTGGTAGGTTTAGAAGGCTGTTATCATCCATCCACATGGCTAATCAGCTATAGATCACATACGGCTGCAGCCGGAAGTTAATGAGAATTATTAACATCATTTATTAAATTTCCTATTAATTGTGTTTTATTAACGTCTACCCCTACACCAACCCTAAACCCGTCACAGTAATGTAAAAACAAATCTGCATCTGAGTCTTCTCTCTTAGCATAGCTGATTAACCACAAGAATTATTTATATTATTTAATAACATCTACCCCTACTCTAAACCCAACTGTCACAGTAACATCAAAACGGATCAATCTAGATCCTACATAAAAGGTAAGACAGCACATGTGATGCTGCTAAAGAAAATCTATAGAGATTTTATTTACACATTGATTTTCTCAAACAAAATGTGTCTTTTTCAACTTCAGGAGCTGACCAGGCCAAAATAATAGACAAAACAATCTAAACTCAAACTCAAACTCCCTCTAACTTCACTATTTCCAGCAAAAGAAGAAGAAAACAAACACTTTCTCACCTAACTCCCTTGTCCACAAAAACAACCAATGAAAAGAAGGTACAAAAGAAAATGGCGTCAAGCTCCCTACTTACTATGTACAAACATTTACATTCAGCAAACAAATCCAAAAAGGAAAAAACAGCAGAGTAGTGAGTTAACCGGCAGGTCAGGTTTTTAATGACAACAAAGCAAGAGCTAATGGAGTAAATACTGTGACAGATTTTCCTCAGATACACTGAAAAAAATGATGTCTGCAAAACTGTTGCAAACACTCATATAATAATATTCAGCTTAATTTGTTTGTTTAAATTCAGCTCAAATAAATTGTTTAGAACCACAAAACAAAAAAAAATTAAGTAAATCCAAGAAGTCATCTTTGAATAATTTCTTTCAGTGTACATATTTATTCTGTTTCCCATTAATTGTAGTTTCTTAAGTCTACCCTTACCCTGACCCTAAACCCAACCATCCCAGTAATGTAAAAACAGATCTGGATCTGGAGTTTTCTCTATTAATATAGCTGATTAACCATAAGAATTATTTACATTATTTATTAAATTTTCCATTAATAGTATTTTATTAATGTCTACCCCTACCCTAAATCCAACCATCACAGTAATGTAAAAACAGATATGGATCTGGAGTCTTATTAGTATAGCTGATTAACCATGTATATAATTAATAACAGCCTTCTGAGCCTACCAGTAGACGTAAAAGGTCCTTACTGGGCATTATCTAATAGCTGATAACCACTGATAATGCCCCTTCAATCGAGGGATAACATTCGAAGCGCGCAGATTGACTGAACAATTTTCAGTAAAACAGTAAAAAAATATTCCTATTTATTTATTTACATTAGGTTATGTTACCTTTTCTGTTATTTAGCTAATGTTTAGCATTATGTTTGTATTCTGTTTTATCAAAATCACATTTTGTCTTATGTTATTATTTATTAGCACCATTGAGAAGATTTTTGTAGTTCACTTGCACATCGTAACATATGCAGTAACAAGTTGTCAAATATGCTCAAAAACCCCATCCTATATCTCTGTGAAAAAATAAAAAATAAAAAACAGTTAGCTTATTTTTTATGGTGAATTACTGCCAACAGATGCCTTTTTACTGCAAATGTAACTATAGTTGTTTAAAAGTGTATGAACTCCAACCTTTTTTTTTGTACTTCTGCATTAATTCAAATCACTCACACAAACGTACATACACAAGTTCTTATATCAGCAACAGAAATGGCATTAGTTCATTCAATCCAGTGATATTGCACATTCAGACATAACACAAGTTCTTCAAACCACATTAGTAGAGAGCACAGCAAAAAAGAACAGAAAAACTCTAACCACTTTATCCTCCTTGAGTCATGCAGTCCAGGAAGCAGAGGGTGAAAGACAAGCAAACAGAGGTAGAGGGGAGGGGAGGAGGGGAAGGAGGGAGGGTTGAAGGTGGAAGAGAAAAAAAGTGTGAAATTAAAATTGAAAATAAATGGTGAGAAATGGAAAGAGAGAGAGAGTGTGTGAAAAAGAAACGTGGGGAGGAGTGGGAGGAGGGAAAAGGAGGTGGGAAAGTGTTAGTGAAGCAACCACATTTTCTCTTGTGTGTCAAAATAGCTACCCAGGCTCATTGAAAAAAAATGTCTACCAATATTTTGGCAAATTTTCAAACTCAAACCTACAAGTTGCTTTTTTTATATGAAAACTAAGACGGCGGTAAAAAAAAAACTACTTTTTTTTCCTTTTTAGGGAAATTATTATAAATGGGCAGATCATCAACTTCTTGCATATACCAATGCTCTGTTTCCATCATTTATTAAGTTGTTCAGCAATTGAAACATAAATGGTTAAAATCCACTTGAATTTAAACACAATGAATTACAACTTGAATTTAAATTTGAATTTAAACTTGAATTGAAACAAATGGTTAAATTGTATTATAACATGTTCCTTTGCGTTATAAGTGACCACTTAAATGGATTTTATTAAGACATTTCCTAATAATTACACTTGAAATTAATATGCATTTTCATTGACCCATTCACAAGTACAATAGACAACCCTCAACAAGGGCTACAAAATTTTGAACTTGTCTATTCTTGAGCACTTAATGAAGTAGTTGAAAACACATTTTAACAGATTGCTTTTCGTCTCGAGTCTAACACCTATTCATAGCATTTTTATAAATTGTATTAATTTGCTGATGGAATAATAATAATTGCATAATTGAGGCCTTGTGACAAAAAACCATAAGTTTATATTTCGTCACCTTAGAATTGTTCTATCTGACATTTTTATCAAAATTGAGGGTTTGACATTCTTATTTACATTATAGGATATATATATATATATATATATATATATATATATATATATATATATATATATATATATATATATATATATATATATATATATATTTTTTTTTTTTTTTTTTTTAATGTTATACACATACTGTTTTCCATGTGGAATGCAAAATTTATTTCAGGAGTTTTCCTAAAAAAAAATGGTAAACGTAAACATTACCATGAAAATTTTATTAAAGAAATAAACACGTTAATTTAGTTTATTTGCTGAAATTCGTATTAAAATATGTTTTATTTATATTGTGCAATGTATATTTATTATAAATATAAATATAATTATAATGTAAATATAATTAATAATAAATTTAAGTTTTTATGCAAATTATATATTTTGAAAAGGAGAAAAACAATAAATCGTTGTATGAATGCTGTAATGTTTAAATAGTTTCCATTTTTAACGCGTGAAGGTCATGTGACCATCAAGAAGAACACAGCATCTCATTCCTCACAGCACACGTTCTCTGTCCTTGCGGTCTCCCGAGTTCGTTCTTCCAAGGACACCAGGCAAGACCGGTCTCCACAAGAACGCAAGTCCGTTCTCTGCGTTGAGATACAGCCTTTATAATTCCAAGGTGATGATTTTCAAATTTTGAGTGATACGATTTTTTTTTTTTTTTAACACAATTAACATCACATGGTTATCTCTTTTTTACTTATATATTTTTCACTTAACTCAACTGTATTAATTCAATTGACTTTTGAAAATAATTTTACAATCAGAATAAAAACAAAATGCCTCTTTCTGTATCCTTATCCTCCTGTGTTTATACACTAATAAATAACAGCATCATCTTGGAAATACCATAATAATAAATAACTAAGCTACATTAATACAATTTCTGAATATTTCATATTTCATAAGTTCCCTCAAAATAAAAATGAACTCACTATTTACTCTCAAGCATTTTCAAATCTCTTGAGTTATTTTTTTTTTCACCAAAAATTTGATATTTTGAAGAATGCTGTAATTTAGTGGCCACTGACATCCATTCAATGGCTACCAATATCCAACATTCTTCAAAATATCTTCTTTTGTGTTCAACGGAGGAAAGAAACTCTAACAGGTTTGAAACAAGTGAACGGAGAGTAATGGTGATAGAGTTGTCATTTTTTTAAAGTGAAAATTAACAAAATAAAATCCTGAAAACATCTAAAATCTTTACGTTTTTTTTTTTAACAAAAAATAAATAAGTATTTGACTAAAAATGAGGTTTTCCAAATATAACCAAATTTCTTGCATTTTCTTCTCTGTTTTGGTTTTTGAGTGTTTATTTTTATTTAAACAATGAATGTGCTGTTAATCCATTTGTTTATACAAAATAACATGAAATGTGATTTCAGTCACCACAAGTGTCACATGATCTTTTTTTTTTTTTTGCTTGAAAACACCAGAGGCCTTGCATTAAATTATTTCATAAAGACACTCAAGCTGTATCAGAAATTGCATACTACAAAAAAGTACTATTTAAATTTACTTTTTACAACAATTAGAAAGGTATATTCTACATAGAATGACTATGAATAGTAAGAATGTAATTCGGACGTTCTGCATCTGCCAAGTTGTTATTATCTTCCCATGTTAGTTGTGTTGTTTCACACCCTTCATAAATTCTCTCACATAGCCTCATGGGATAGTAAAGTGTCCACTGAACGTGTATTGCAGAACCACATATGAAGTAGTAGGTCATCTGGGTACTTACTGTTTATTTGACTACTATAAATATCTTAAGCAACTTGTATACTATTTTTCACATACTATATATTATAGCGAAATACACGACTTTGGATGCTCCATGATTACTGGATTGTAAACAGTAATGTAAATACATTACAATGGTGTATTAGAAACTGCACTCATTAGAGATAAAGAAAGTTTTATATTTGTACTTGCTTGGCAGCTTACCTGGCATTACATGCACTAACCAACATCATTGAACAATACAGTCCCATTTATGCTTTTTTTTTTTTAAATAAACTGAATATGTTTTAGTGCCACTCACTGTATTTTTATTTGTATACTGTATATTTTATTTCATTTTGAAAACACTGTTATACATAAAAAGGCAACATTATATCATTTCAGATGTTTTTTTTTTCATGAGCCTGAGATGCAAAACAGACATATGCACGAAAATAAATAACAAACTAAATAAAAATAATAATAATAAATAAATAAATAAATAAATAAACAAATAAATAAATAAAGGCACGCTGTATTTAAATGCATGAAATATTGGCATATTGAAGAGAAATGTTATTCGTTGAGTGATTAAAAATGTTTTTTTTTTTTTTTTTTTTTTCAAAAACACCAAACTGTCAGCAATGGTCATGTATGCATAGATTATTAGTATAGATGAATAGTATAGATCTATTATTATAGATGGGATGTTAGAACAGAACACTGACGATTTAAAAATGTTTTTAAAATAAAATAAGAGCATCACAAAACCCAGATGAAATGGTCCAAGCAACCTCTCAGGATGCTTGGCCGACACTGTGAAGCCCCGCTGAATCTGTGTGAGCATCATTTTTTTTCTTTTTTTTTAGACAATGTGTGTCTGTTGATGATTGAGCTTACACGACTTTGTATCTGCAATGCCCCCTACAGGAAAACACAGAAACTGCATGTAAAGTGTGTGCTCTGTGTTGCAGCAATTGGCCTTGGTATTGATTGATCCTGAGTGCTGGCTGGGCAAATCTGACACATATTGATCTTTACTGTGCAAATTATCAAAAGGGAAAGACTAATTATCAAAAGGAAATTTTAATATTGACCATTAAGAGCATGTAACCGAATTCTGATTAGCATAAAAGTGAATTTGAGTGATTGAATTGAGAGCAGAAACCCTTGAACGGCTTGTCAGCATGTACATACATTGGCATTCAAACACTTGTGCACAATACTACATTAAGAATAAAATGTATGTTTATAAATACATCAATATGGCAGGTCTGGCTGATACTGAAAAATAGATACTTATTTTAATGTAATTGCTGAAAACCAATTGATAATTTAGTGTTATAAATCCTAATATTATATTATATATTATGAAAATATGAATAGTGTTAATAGTGTTGAAGCACAACCATGTACAGTTAAAGTGAGAATTATTAGCCCCCTGAATTATTAGGCCGCTTGTTTATTTTTACCCCAATTTCTGTTTAATGGAGAGAAGATTTTTTCAGCACATTTCTAAACATAATACTGTAGTTTTAATAACTCATTTCTAATAACTGGTTTGCTTTATCTTTGCCATAATGACGGTAAATAATATTTTACTAGATATTTTTCAAGACACTTCTAGCTTAAAGTGACATTTAAAGGCTTAACTAAGTTAATTAGGTTAACTAGGCAGGTTAGGGTAACTAGGCAAGTTATTGTATAACAGTGTTTAACAGTGCAGGAGCTTAAAGGGGCTAGAAATTTTGACCCTAAAATGGTGTTTAAAATTTTTTAAAAACTGCTTTTATTGTAGCCGAAATAAAACAAATATTACTTTTTATTATTAAAAAAATAGATATTATCAGGCATACTGTGAACATTTCCTTGCTCTGTTAAACATAATTTGGAAAATATTTTAAAAAGAAGAAAAAATTCGAAGGGGGCTAAAAATTCTGACTTCAACTGTATATTATTTAAAATCATATTTAGTACGGTATAGTGTTTTGTTTCATCCTGTGCAAATTAATTTTTGTTTTTCCAATTATTTAAAAACCACAGTTTCCCCTATTATATATTCCTCTGTAGAAAGTCTTGTTTCTTTTAGTTTGGCTGGGATAATAATTTATTATTATTTATTTTTATTATTTGTGAAACTGCTAAGATCAACATGTTGATGTTATGCTTCCTTTACATTTTTATTTATTTACTTACTTTTTTGGATATAAAAAAAGAAAATTAGTTAATTAATAATTCAAGAGTTCAGATGCAAAAGCCGCTAAATGTCACTTCCGCCAAATATGAGCTAATGACATTGAGTGAATGCTTAAGGCACGTAGTACACCATCAACAAATAGATTTGCTCATAAATAACAGTTTGTTGGTAAAAGCCTCTAAACGCCACTTGCCTTTGACAGCAAAAAACTTTATATCCCGAGAACCAATCAGAAGGCGCGAATCGAATCATATGTTTTCAATGTACCTTAGCAGCGAGCTGAAACGCCAGCTTTTATGAGGAGGCAGTTTTATTCTGCTTCTGATTTAGATTTTAAAAGAAAGACGGGGTTTGAAGAACTGGATGAGCTTGTCCGACTGTCAGTGAATGGCAAATGAAAGCGTCCCTTACCTCAAAACTCATTATAAGAAAAAAAACACACACACTGTACAGCCGGAAGTGTAACATGCATAAGGTTTTTGTGCAATAGCCTTATTTTGAATCAGTCCGATTTACTATACATTAAACGCCAACTGTGTTTCACAAAAGACAGAGTTAAGTTGCTGTTCTTTTATCCCACATGGACGTAAGAGACCAAAACCTTAAAGGGTCACGAAACACCAAAACACATTTTTTGAGCTGTTGACAGTCATGTGTCCCAAGGTGCTAAAAACACTAATACGACACATATTCCACTGAGAAGTGAAAATTGGTTGTTTTTGCGTTATTTTTGAGCAAATTCGTACTTCCGGTTTGAAACAAATTTTTGAAGCTGCGTCACAGCCATGAGATCTAAGCGTGTATTCCAACCTGTAGACTAGACATCTGTACCTGGGAGTGCTTTATTAGTATTAGATGAGTAAGACTTGGTTCAAACCAATCAGAGCACTCTATTGTGCAACTTCAGTACAATGCATGATAGCTTCCAAGACTGTTTTTACCGGTTACAGTGTTCAGACAGCAGAGAGACGACACAATGTGTTGCCAAAACAAACATCCAGTGTTGCTTTTATAATTTGCTGCTACACGTTCTTTTAATTGTGGCCTATATCCAATTCATGCGTTTACACTTGCCATCCAATTTACGATGCATGCATAAAGGCGGGTTCTATCATCTGTGCCACACTAGCCACGATGGAAGAAATTGTCTTGTTTTTAGCTCTGCGAAATATGCGGTGAAGTATAAGCAGTTAATGGTTCAGTCCAGATTTACCCCCATACAGTTTATGTAATGGTATGGCCCTGATGTGTGTGCGTGTAGTTGAAGATGTAGTCTTCCCCTGTGTACGTACTGGTGTTAGAGAGAATAAAGTTGTTTTATGTGTAGCCTGCAGTGCATGTATTATTAGCGACAAAAAGCAAAAGTTACAACACGAAGTTCGCCCAACTTTAAAATGATTACGAGGCGGAGGTGGGAAAGGGCAGTCATCGCAGCTTGCGCTTATGGTTCATATGCTGTATGATTTCCTCCACCATTCAGAGGAATGTGTGGGTAGGGAGAGCTCTCAGGTCTGGTGGGAGCAAATTGTGGCGACTGACCACTTTTCTTCATGTTTCCTCTGTTGTTGTTGTTTACTGCGTCAGAATCTCCACACATGCTCTTCCTTTTACATTATTAAACTGTGGAGACACACCACATTGTCATAAGTTTGATGATGTACAGAATGTAATGACTCAATAAATCTGATTTGCCTGTTTACATGACAGTTGCATTGTGACATTTCCAATTTATATCAGATTTATTTCCACATATAAGATGATACCAATCTTTGAATATCCGAATGCATGTGTTTTTTTTTCGTGTTTACACAATCACAGAACAGATCCGATCTGTGTCACATATGAGCAAAAACTCAGAATTGGGTTACATTTAACTAGCAATGTAAACGGGGCCTTTGTGACAGGACTAACACACACGGCTTTCTGGCGCTACCTGCCGAGTGCATCTAAGTTTTCGGGAAACACAGAGGTTGTTTTTCTCATTCGCCTTGCGGTAACAAACATTGCATGAAAAATACACGCTTAAAGCAGTTCCTCGGATCAAATATCTAGTTTGTCACGAGGGGCATAAATGCAATTCATGAATGAAAGAGCCAAACTGCAGTCCACCATTAATAATTTGTCAAATAATTCTATTACTGATGTCCATGTAAACACAGTCGCTGTCTTTCTCCCGTGTGTGTGTGTGTGTGTTTGTGTGTGTGTGTGTGTGTGTGTTTTGGCTCTGTGAAAATCAGCACGTGCCTAAACCGACTCTCTCATTTTTATGCAAATTTTTACAGACCCTCCCTCTTTTGCTCCTCCGACACTCCCCCCTAAACAGAGCTGGACACGCCCACTTTCCGGACTTTTTCCAAAGTAGAGGTGTGAAAACACCCTGCTGAAACAAGGGGGTTTCATGGCCCTTTAAGTATGGTGAGAAGGAATGAATGACAGCTTCTAAAATTCATATTCATCCCTTTTTGCCCAGTAGGCCCACCTTGTCTTTTATTTGCTAATTTAAGCTATTTTTAAAAGATAAATATAATGTATAAAACTTTACATTATTTATATTACTTCATAATACCTATACATCTGATGAGCTTTTTATATTAATGGATAATGCACAGACATTGATGTTTCACAATGTTTTTGCACTACATTATTTGAATCTATCAAGCTTAGCTTACAATGATTACATTACTCACATTAAATCTAAATCCCAAATATCAAAAATGACAACAGATTGTTAAGATTTAATTAATGTCATATTTAATGTTATTAATTAATGCGCTTACTTGACAGATTTCATTCATTCATTTTCCTTCTGCTTAGTCCCTGGTTTATCAGGGGTGACCACAGCAGAGTTAACCGCCACTTATTTGACAGATTTATAGATTTTAGGTGTTTAATGTTTGGTAAAATAATTTATAATTGCACAATTTGTCCACAAGTTACACTGTCTTGTCCCAATAGGTGGATTCAGAGGTTTTTGCTAAAAAGCGCAAGTTGATTTAGCTGGTTTTGAGGCAAATGAAAATCTACCTTTTTAAAAACCAAAGAATTGTCTAAAGTGACATTTAAAAAAAAAGGAATTATATTTACTAGCTAATAACCTTATCATTACATATAAAATGAAACTTCTGAACCTAATCAGAGGAGCCTGATAGAAAATACTTGTTTACAAAAAAGAGGTTTGATGGATTTAGAGGGTTTTGCATCTTAACTCTTTAATTGGATGATTTATTTTGGAAGATAAGCTGTGTTAATATACAAAGTTGTGGGTGAAACTTTTATGGTAAAGTCTAGATCGGATACACGGCTGGCCGGAAGTGTGATATGCACATCAATTTAGCAGCAATTTTTAATCAACTATATAACAATAATTAATATTAATACAGTACTGCAATGGTTGGGTTTAGGGTTGGTGTGGGGGTAGACATATATAAATTAAAATAAATGGCAAATTAAAAAAATGATATAAATAATTCTTGTTAACTTCCGTCCCTACCATATCCGATCTAGCAACAATCAAATTTAATTACACATTAAAACAATAAAGATGGTTGTATTTTTTAAAGTGCCATTCATAGACAAGCCCAACACTTTATATGTGAACATTAAATCACCCTGCCATGTTTGTAGGGATAGCAATCTTAAATTTTAAGTCATTGACCAAACAAACATTTTGTCATTAATGGCAGAATTTACTAGGGTTATGAATAATTTCAGGCTGTATATCACTCCAAACCTAAGATTTTTATTTATCTTTGAAACACAAATAAAGAGATTTTTTTATTAATTCTGTCCCTTGTTTGATAGTCACTAAACTGTCACATACAATCAACTGCACCATCATACATATAAACATCCTGGCGGCACGGTTATCTCAGGTTTCATTCAAAATATCTAATGTGTGCTCAGAATAAGAAAAGGGCCATTGGTGAATCAACTTTACAAAATAATAATCTAACTCATAAAATAGAAATAAACCACCACCACCTACACTGACTAATTAAAATCATACCAATATATTTTGTATGATTAAAAAACAAATAAACAACAACTTACATGTTACATTAACAAAAACCACAAAACACTGCTTTTAGAAGGCCGGCCTTATTGAAAACCCTGCGTTGGACTTAAAATGACAGTAGGGGACTTCACCCAGCTGGGCCGGACGGAACTGAGGCAGATTGTTCCTCAGCAAGCCCAGTGAGACGAGTCCATTCTCAGGTAAGCACTCTAGAGAAGGGGGGGGCCGTCTTTAGAGACAGCAGCCAAGTATGAGATCCTAAAATAGACCCTCGCATGTTGTGCTGCTGGACACGGTCCCACACATTACCCTGGTGGTGCTTAGCAAAGTCAATGAAGATTTCACTCAAAGAGCCGAGTCTTTATAAAGCTCAGAGGAGCTGTGGGTGGTGTGGACTTTGCAGTCTAAATCTGCAGACTTATATGGATTGTAGAAACTAAAATGAACTGTTTGGATTCAGGATTTAGACTTTCAGTTCGAAGGTTTAAACAGATTCAGCAAATTCCCTAAAAGGGAATCAACCAAACAACTGATGTCTTTTATAAGTGTAATAAAACAAATGAAGTTTGAGGTGGGAATTACTCTATGGTGAGAAAGATGATGTGGCGGATGAGAGAAAAACACAAAAAAGAAATGAAAGGGTCTGACGGTAGGTACTTACGTTATTTGAGCGCAACGATACTCTTCCCCCGCAGCGGGCACAGAACTTGGTCTGGCAGTAGGAGCACAGATGCCCACAGCCATCTGCAAACTTGGTCTTACGGCAGATGCCACAGGTAGGTGCATCATCTTTATGGACAGCCTGCTGTCGCTTCGTTTCTGCCCCGATCTTCCTCACCTGCTCCTTATAACTCTCAAACTGCTGGTGCAGTGTCCTGGTGGAAACAATGGACAAAGAGAAAACATATGCAGCTGTTGGTTTGAGGATAAAAAACAACAAAAAACCTAAAATAAAATGTCCAGCATTACTGCATTGCCTAGAGTATATCAAATCATTCGTTTGTCTATAAAAATGTCAAGAAGTCCTCAAGGATCCCAAATTTTTGGGAATTAAACATAAATTGCAAAAGCAAAGAAAGATGCATTCTAAAACCCAACAGGCATGCACTTCTATAAAATATTGCAGATGATCAACAAAAACCTTTAATTTTCGGATGAAAACAAACATGCTGACATTTTGGCAAGAGTTATCAGAAAATCAGAGTGTGGACCAAACCAGTCTTACGTGCGATTGTTTTAATATTCACAGCTTTCTGTTGATGTATGGTTTGTTATAATAGGACAATATTTGGCAGAGACAAAACCATTTCAAGATCTAGAACATGAGGTAACAGTGAGAAAATCACCTTTAAAGCTGTCTAAATGAAGTGCTTAGCAATGCATAATACTAATCAAAATTGAGTTTTGATCGATAACAGTGGGACATTTACAATCTTTATTTAATATTCTAATGATTTTTGACCCAAACAATGTGATTCTAGCTATTGTCAAAAATGTGCAAGTGCAACATAAGAGGTTTAGTGATCCAGGGTCACATATTATATCTGAAACATATCAAATAATGTACATCAGTCTTTGTAAAGCCAGAATTCAAACTAAGATGTTTAACCTAACTCCACTTCAGATTGTCTTCTCCCTTCACTAGAACGAAAATAAACTGTTAATGAACTGCCAATGAGCCACTGCTGTCTGCTAAAAAAGATGGGGTTTCGTAGCTGAAACATTTCTCAAAGGAAAAGCACATTAACAGTTCTCTTATAGCAAGTGGTTAGCTGCACTAATGACCATGGTAAAGACATTTAGCCATTTAAAATAGATTCCACTGGAAGAAAAAAGACAAAGCTTGTAAATTGTGAATACACACTGCACAAATTTCTATGTAAAAGTAAAGTTGCCTCCGATACTACAGGCTGATAATATTCATTGGCACCTTCATACACATTTTATACACCTAATACAGTATGTGAAAACATACAGTACATCGGCTACGCTGCAGTAAAAATGGATCTTCAGGAAAACAAAACTGCAAAAGCAAGCGCAAAGCATCACCTCTGTTTGTGGCGAACAGCCATGATCTGCGATTTCCTTTCAAAATCCCAAACCTGCATAAAACACTGACATCGGAATCAACTGAAACTCTGAAACAAAAGCACACTTCCCACAACTTCTGCTCTCCATGGCTGGAAATGCTAGCGTTCTCTCTCTCGCTCTTTCTGGAATCAGATAGCAGACTGCAGTCCCAGGTATCTGGATGGAGGTTGTGACTTTGAGGAGTCTTGGCCAGTGATGCTATATTACGCAGTCAGGATGAAACCAATACGTGGGAAGTCGAAGGTGTGGCGTCAAAGATGAATCATTGGCAGGAGAATCAAAGTATAGAAAAGTGACCTCTTTAAGGTTACAGGTGACCACATACTCTATGTTTTAGAACCATACTTCAGTGAACTGCTGGAATTAACCTTTTTTGGTAATTGTAGTTGCTGAGGTAATGCAGCAACTATACTAAAATAAATAAATCACCCAATACTGTACCGTGTAAGGTTTCTACAATGTAAAAAAAAAAAAGCTGCGTTACTCACAATTCCTAAGGGTTGTCTCAACACAAACTAAGATAACTTAATAGTTTTTACAAATGTAAGTGGATTGAAAACAAAACAATTAAGTTGTCTCCCTCAAAAAACTCTTAATAATTGTGTTGTTTCAACTCATTTTAAATTAGTTTGACCAAGCAGAAAAGGTTAGGGCTCTCATTTCATTTTTTGGTTATACATCTTTATACAGTTAAAGCCTAAATTATAGAAATTTTTATTTTTTAATTTCCAGGGGCTTTTCATTGTTTTCAACATATCTTTAAACATAATAGTTTTAAAAACCAATTTCTAATAACAAATAATTAACTTCTGTTGTTTTTTTTCCGTGATGACAGAACATAATATTTTTCTAGTTATTTCGCAAGACACTCATATATTTAGCTTAAAGTGAAATGTTTTTTTATTCTTCTTTTCTTGCTCTGGAAAACATAATATGGGAAATAAATTTAAAAATATTACAGTTCCACAGGAGGGCTAATAATTCTGTCTTAAACTGTTTATAAACCTATATATGCCACAGTTTACTGTAGTAAAAATTAAAGGATACTATAGGATTTATTTTATTTATTATTATGATATATTTTATTTATTATTAATTTTAAAGTTGAGTCGCGATAAAACCGAAGCCCTACACATAGTGACTAAAAGTGTTTTAGAAAAAAAATGCTAGGTTTAACATAAATATTGATAACAATATAATTTGTCCCTCTTTGGAGGTCAAGAGCTTGGGTGTCATCTTAAAAGGCACACTTTATTTTAAAGGTCATATCAATAATTTTATTGATATGTTTCCACCTTAATATAATATAATTAATATAATATAATTATATTATATATATTAATATAATATTACTCATCTTCATCCTTCTCTCACAACTACTAATACAGCAATTCTCATCCATGCACTAGTCCCTTTTATGAATAAACTAGTGTAATTGCATTGATTTTAATGTCAGGAAATTAAAAAAAATATTGACTTGGGTTCATATCACTCTAATATGACAGTGGACACACTTTACATACACAGTTCTGTCTAAACAACTTACAAAAGTTGATTTTCATCATAGTTGCTCTTTAAAATATTACTTCTCACTTTTAAGGCACTTCACAGTCTTGCTCCTCAATATCTCATCGAACTTCTCCATATTTCTACATCTTCTTGCACTTGATCATCCAACTCTATTTCTTTGGCACCCCGCACTCGATTAAGCACAAAGGAAACCAGATCTCTTAGCTCTATGGCTCCTCTGCTATGGAACTTGCTTCCATTGGATTTAAGGAACAGTGATAGTCTTTACACTTTTAAATATTGTCCTAAGACCCATCTTTTAGATAGGCTTTTTAATGATTATTATTTAGAAGTTCCCTATAGCTAATACTATAGTATGCTACAGCATTTTTAACAAAGTGTTGTAAATAACATGATATACAGTATGACACACTTTATTATAGTATGGTTGAAAAACACTATAATATTTACTATAAAGGAAAGGAAAGGAAAGAAAAGAAATAAAAAGGAAAGAAAATGAAATTAAACAATATGAAAGGAAAGGGAAGGAAAGGAAAGGAAAGGAAAGGAAAGGAAAGGAAAGGATAGGACAGGAAAGAAAAGCAAAGGAAAGGAAAGGAAAGGATATGACAGGAAAGAAAAGCAAAGGAAAGGAAAGGAAAGGAAAGGAAATTCATAACATGTGGCCAAGTGACTTATACTTGGAATTTGTGCTTTGGATTTAACCCATCCAAGTGCACACAGTAAACACACACACAAACCATGGACCTGAGCAGTAAAAAAAATATTTAATTAGGTATTTTTACATTTGGTTGGAAATGCTAAAGGAGACTTAAGGAGACTTTAAGAGCATTTATATATTATTGAATTAGGATTTGGCGATCATCTAGAATGATGACAAGCTAGTAAATTGTGTATAGTTTTGTAGAAGAATAAAAAATATATACATTACATGAAGAAGTTATCACTTAGGACAGGGCAGCACTATGAAATTAATGGATCAGCTTTTTAAGTTCACTTCAGCTATTTTTGAAAATATTGATTAGTAAACTCTAACCTCTGTTGAGCTTCGGGGTCAGCGCTCTCAGGGAAAAATCTCAATAGCTATAAAAGCTTGTTCTACCTCATAACTTCAGACTATGACTTGCTTCAATAAATGGTTATATGGTCAAATATCAAATAATAATTTGGTTGATCTTTTCTGTAAATAAAAATGTAATGAAATCTGGATCTGACATGCTTCAAAATGATCTGTGGGCTTGGCACACCAAGCCAAACCCAGAGAACTTTAACACCACCTACACTGTGAAAATATGTGTTGCTACCTTACATTTTTAAAGATGCAGTTTTTGGGATTTGGAGTTCATATTAAAAATATTAGACAGTTTTTTTTTTTTTTTTTTTTTTTTACCTGGCCCCTCCATGATGCAGGTTGCCAGATTAATGAGATCAACAGGAGTGAGCATACCTGACAATCCAGCCTTATAATGTAAGCTGCTCAGCAAACGTTAATAATTAATTTTCAGAGTTTTTAGATTTTCAGAGTCAAATTTTTAATCCATGCCTGCATTTATTGAAACTGCTTCAGAAATGAAATATACTGTGTTTTCTACTAAGCCAACATGCGGTGCCACAAAGTAATTGGTTGAGCTTGAAGTGGGTGGAGTAACTCTGACCAAAACAAAGACAGACATTCCAACATAGAGAGCACATTTTCAAAACTGACTTGAACATTTTTTTCCCAATAATGTCTGTTAAAAAAGACTAAGAAAGTTTTTTTTTTTTTTTAAAGCTACTTTCTCTTAATGTGTGTATATATATATATATATATATATATATATATTCATGATTTTAATGCTGTCATTAAAAATCATGAAGGCCATACAAACAACCAGATAATGTAGTTTTTGTTGTGTAAATGCATTTTTGCTTCATCCTAATTTGAGTCAAACAAAAAAATTAATTAAGTTATTTTGTTAACCTTATGTTATTTGTGAAATTTTAGACATCAGATGTCTTAAACTTAGTCTTGTCAACATTTTGGAAGTTGTCTGTTTTCATTGGGATATTGTTAGAAAATGTTACTTTTCAAAGGGTATGTACTCATTTTAAGTCATATTTAACTCAATATTGTAATTCATTCTGTCTAATGTTTGTAAAATTTCATAATACGTGCGCAGGGAGGTGGCAGAAAAAAAAGGGAGTGCTACTATTTTACGAGAGAGAAGTTAAAGGCCTACAAGTCTTTGGATGCCAAAAATATTCTGTGTGGTCA